AGGTAGTTTTACTAAAACTCAAAGACTTCTAAAAGTGAAATGTAGCTGTACTACTTTATCAAAGCCTTTATCTGGCCATCTTAGCGTTCGCGTATTCTTTTAAAAACAGAATAACTGTATATTTGTAATATTTTGTTATACTTGGTATTTCTTTCTAGAACTTATCTCAGTTAGTAAGGCTCAAAATGTTTTTTTCTTGTGTCTCTTCATTACGCCTTCTTTTCTTTACGTGAGTCTCAAATTAACTTGACATAGACACTTTACATGCATTTTAGGCTAAATGTAAAGTATTCCCTCATGCCCATGAGGCATTTGGAAAGTTGATAAGTTCTGCTTTCAAGGACACTCTAAATGAGGTTATTAAAATTCAATGCTTTTCATATTCTGATGGAGAAAAATGTTTGTCCCTAACAACAAAGGACATAGGTCAATTTAAGAAAGCTTCTCAGTCTCCTTATCCACGGCCATGGAATACTTTGTGCCAGTATTTGTAAATGTAAAATAAGAAAATGCTACCAGGGAGGAAGAAAAGTATAGGAGACTAGGTTCTATCCAAAAGTAAAAATCCATAACCATCTGTTGTTTGTGTTGCATGCATTTTGCAACTGTCATCTCCACTGTTCACGTCATTCCATCTTCACAGCAATATCACTGAAACACCCACTGAGATAAAATCACAAATATTTTGAACATACCATATGATATTTTATTTTCCAAATTAATATTCAACAAAGTCACATTGAGCACTTGTTTTTAGTTTACTTTTGCGTTGTCACCTGAAAAATCTTTTAAGAGTTTGCAACTACATGATGGTTAAGCTCAAACTTGAATAATGAAAGAAACATAGAAAAAAAAAAAAAGAAGAAAAACAGAGAGAAGAGAGGGTCTCTTTTCTTGGAGATATCCAAGCCCTTCCTGGATGCTCACTTGTGTGACCTACTGTAGGGAATTGGCTTTAGCAGAGAAGTTGGAGTTGATGATATCTAGAGGTCACTTCCAACTCCTATAATTCTGCAATTCTGTGTCTCTGTGAATCAATTAGATGTTGTGTTTTTTAACTGTAAGCATGTTTTCAAAAATGGTAATGGTAACTACTTAAACTCTGCTTGACTACTCAAACTACTTGAAGCATTTTTCTTGGAGAATGGTCTCAAAATGCTTTTAAAATTATTATTTGGATAAGTTATCTGGAAGTTAAATGGACATTTATTTTTTGAACTTCAGAATAGCAAGATAATCCCACATTTCACAGTTTGGAAGAATTAGCAGTTTTCAAGCTTATCTCTATAACCTAGTGTCACATCTGAAAAGCTATTTTTGAAAATAGAAACAACAACAACCAAAGTGAAATTTGCTCTTGGCTAAATGACAAGAGTTAAAGTCAATTAAGTAACCTGCTTTTTCCAGTTTTTAGACTTCCACAAGGATGTCTAAAACCCAAGGTCAGCTGTGTCTGAAATCAACATATCTGTCACATGGCTCTAACGACCACCACTAAGGTTTCCCATCAAATCTATACTGAAAACAACAAATACATATATTTTTCTCTAGACAAATAGAACTCTAATAAAATTTCTAATCACTTTTAGCTGGTTAATGCTGTGCAAAGTGGAAAAATGGAAATTTTGAAAAAGAGAAGAATGAACGGTGAGAATCTGAGGTAAAGCATATTTGGTCTTTTGGGTCTTCAGTTCCTTAATATCTTGTGTATCAGAGCAAACATATGACTCTTTAAGTATGCACACACAGTTGATATATTAAAGAAAACATACATGCATACATATTATATATATATATATGCTTTCATTTGTGTACACAAACACAATATGCCCTGTCAGGATAGCTCCACTAATTCCATCTTACCCCAAATTCGGCCCTCCTGTAGTAGAAGTGTGGTCATCCCAGCCACAGTCCCTTGTGTGTAGGAGTCCATCACAAAGCTATCACCACTAATTTAATACAATTGACAGTCTCTGCTCAAGAGAGGCAGAAGAAAGAGTTGCCATGGAGACTGAACTATTGCCCTTCTCCAGAGGATACTTCTTTCAAGCACAGGCTGAACCACAGAGGCCATCTATTACATGTAACCTTGATCGTATTACAGGATCTTGCATTTTGGGGAGGCTTTTTAGTAAGTTCTAATAAACATCCAGGAGACGAGAGTTGGGAGGAAAAGAGCGTGTTTGAGAAAAAATAAATAAATAAATCCAACAAGAACTGCATGGAACTGCTTATTATCTTAGATTGAGAGGGGGAAAGAATTTCATATTGACTAGATTTATCAGATTTGTCACCTCTGCTTAGTGCTTTCCTAACAGAGTGAATGCTGTGCTTGACCTATTTGCAGGAATTAACCAGGACTGCAAGAGACCATATGGATTGCCAGATGGTCTGCTATAATTTAATGCCATTTATTCTAAGTATGAAGTAAGTGATAAACATAATTAACATTCTTTCAGTTCCTTACTGGATGCCATTTATTAGTTTATTAGTATTTGTGTTTTGTTTTTTGTTTTTTGTTTTTTTTTCCTAAAGCATTGAAAGGTAAGTTAATACCTTGTTATTGAAACACAGAAGCCAGCTAATTACAGCAAGAGGCTGGAGCCTCTAAAGCAAAAAGTGTCAGCACAGACTCTTAACTTATTCACTGACCCCACTGTGATGATTAATAGGTTGAATGCTAAGCTCTAATGAGAATGACAGATCTTAGATGTTTTCAAGTTACCTTAATTAATAGCATGATGAAGAGAGTGTTCACGCAGACATATCATACTTCATAGTAAACACTACAGACTGTACTTGTAGTCTTCATGTCTTTCACATTACAGCACATCAAATGCTAAGAAATAAAACCACCTTCAGACAGTAAAAACAATGGAGTGATTTCCTTCAGAAGTGTTTTTCCTGATTGCTATTTCATATTCTGCCAGATATTGTCTGAATGCTCTATTTTTTAGGAAGTGGTTCTAGAGAAGCTATGGCTTCAAAGAATGTTTATATCCAGCAGAATTGTCATTTCAAAACCACAGTAAGATAAGTAATGCCTCCTATTAAATTCCATGGAATCTACAGCAAAGAACACAGTAACACTGTTTGATAGAGCAAATTTTCAACTACAGAATACTGTTTGTCAATAGTCACCACCATTAGCTATGCCTTTTGGCCAGCAATCAACAAGCATGCCATGCTCATAAATTCTGCACCAGTGGAGGTGACCCACTGTCACTGTTGCCACTGCTGAAACCTACCATCACTGCTTCACTGTGCTCACATCCATAGTTTAGTCTCCATATCTGTTCAGCAAGAGTCAATGCATGTCAATGGGTGCCTTTTTTTTTCCGTGTGGAGGAAGGAATTCAGTGACACATCTTTGCTTCACATGCACTTTCATGTCAGATGCCATTTTGTGAGCCCCTCTGCTGCCAAACCACCAACACCCACATCTGATATCATGGGCCAAAACAATAAAATAGGGGCATTGCTTTCAGATCAGCCTATGTTCAAACACGACCATAGCTAAATGCCTTTCAGTTTGTGTCTGCACTATTAATAAAAGTTGATTGAACTTTGAGATGATAGAAATGGCACAAATTAGATGTTATTCAGAGATTAAAACAAACAAAAATTAAAAAAAAAACAAACAACTGTGCTATAAAGTAAATCTGCCCTAATAAAATTTAGATAACATTAGAAAACACAGTGAACAAGACTTCAGTTCAGAAGTCACAGCATAAGGAAAATGGAAGCAGATTCCAATTCTTATCATCTGTGCACTTCCCTTCTTCCAGATGGATCCACACAGGGGCTGCCACAGTTACATCTGTGCACTTTGCAGTGCAAGAGCATATATATTTGTAAATACACAGCCTTCTGAAGAAAGTACTTTCAGAGGAAATCTGAATGAGACATTCTCTCCATTCCCACAGCACCATGCACACTGACTGCCTTTGGGCTGCTTGCAGAGTGCACAGTGCTAGTCAAGCATGCTTGGACACACAAAATGGCATATTATCAGAGTGAAACACATTTTTAGGCTTGCAGTATCCATAACCACCAGTTATGATTTGAGAGTAACCTGGTCATAAGTCATAACATATAGCAAGGACATGTATGCTCCTTTACTCCACTCTTGAAGGCACTGAATCAAGTTACTTCTTTGCTTGGTGAATTGTTGCTGCTCCTATAAACTCCTTCAAATTCTCCCTATGAATAAATATAAGATCAAAACATCTGAAAAGCAAGTTTGCATTGATACTGGCACCACTTGCCAAATCAACTTTATTAGGTCTCTGTCTCTGCTACCGTTTTAAGAAAAAAAAACAACCATTATGTTTTCCATTCCATTAATTGAAAAATATTTAACTGAGGTGCTTCAGCTAATGCTATGCTGGCTGTAGACTCTTCTTTATAGTCAGAGGAGAAAAAAGGTACTTAAAGAGTGCAACTCAGCTAGTCTGAACTCTCTCCCATAGACACCTACCTCTCTTCCTTCACTGCTAAAGCAGCTATGGTCACTCAAATGTCAAGGCTTAGGTAGGTTGAAATCAGTGATAAAAAATTACCATGGTAAAAACAGGACTTTGTGTATTGTTCACAAGGTCATTTGCTGGGATCTGATAATATCATACTTTATTACAGAAACCACTTCTGAAAAATACAGAAGTGCTGCTCTTCAGTGAATAAAGTGCTATAGGCACAGTGTTCTCAGTTGCTATATACTTTATACTATATTCCTTTTCTATATAAACTTTTCAGTTTCTATACATACAGTTTCTATACATTTTTATACATATGTACATTTTTTTTATAATATATGTATTTAAGATTTCATAGTCCCATTATTACAAACAGTCTGAGATGTTCCAAGTTATAACATTCAAAGAAAAAGCACCAGGTAAATTCTTAGGTAACTCGTAAAATCAGTTAGTAATTAACTTTAAGTGCTTTAAGACCATATGGGCAGGTGAGCTGTGATATTTCAAATTTCACAAACATCTTACCTCCTGCGTACATGACAGCCAACATTATTGATGATATCCAAGCTATCTCACTATATGATGTATGGAAGATTTCCTGTATTTCCTTGAAGAATACTGTGATGGCTTTGGGGAATGCATAGGAGAATCCAATGGAAATAAAGGCCCCAAAGACCACAACCCACCCCCAGCCTCCATCTGGAGGTGGGTACTGTGGTGCTCCTATTGCTGGTGGCATTTCTAGCCTCTGCCTCTTCTCCAATTAAGCTGAAAAAGAAGAGAAGAAACAAAGTTTCAGACATTTTTTCTTTTTTTAATATACTGCAGTATTCCACCATCATCTGCAGAATCCTCAAAGCAGAGAAAAACTCCCAGTTTACATGCAAACATAGAATACAAAAACCTGTTTTCAGAAGCAAAAATCTGTTCTTTTAAAAAAAAAGAAAAAAGAAAAAAGAAAAGAATATTTGAATATTTGAAATATCCCATTTAGTATGTGTAACTATGTGACTGAAATTGTGTTTGTAATTATTCATTTCTTGGAAAATGATGTGTTTGTGTAGGTAAATTTCCTTATCTCTTCAATCTACACTATGGACTTAGAATAGGTATGACAGGAAAAAAAAAAAAAGAACAATATTGTATAGAAAGAAATGGAAAAAAGTTACAGTAAATAATTCCTAAATGCTGTTTTGTTAGCAACACTTGCAATTACTTTCGCAAAATCATCAGCAATTACAGTAACGAACAAGTGTGTAATAGAATGCTTTATCATGTGCTCTCATTTTCCAGTCATTAATCATTGTTAATATTTCTCGCTTAACTCAAGATAACATTTTAAGAGTGTATTTTAAAGAAAGACTTAAAATTCCTTGTGTAGCCATAAAATAAACACAAAAATTACAATGTCATACTGTACTGGTTTTAAAATTTTATTCTGCTTATTAGTAACTGCTGATATTACTTGCAGGGGCAAAGTCAATCTCGATGGTACTTTTTTTTTGCTCTGTATTTACACATTTAAAGACATCAGAAAGTCTTTTACTAATAACTTCACAAACTTCCCACAGCTATTTTCTAATTTAAAGTTTACCATAATAGAAAGCATCAGAGTGATTTTTGCAGAGGTTCCTAGAGGTGCAACAACAACAACAAAAAAAAAAAAAATCAGGGAGTTTAACAAATCATAGGTAATTCACTTAAAACTCCTAAGGCCTGAAATTAATTTTATATTTTTATTATCATCTTGATTATTTATTCCTACAGATATTAAATATTACCATCTTGATATTATATTCCTAAAGAATACGGAGCAGCAAGAATTAATTTTGTAGTTCTGAGATATTTCCAATCTAAATCCTCTTTTTTACTGAACAAAGTTGGAGTCCACTTTGTTTTCATCTGTGTAATGCAACCTACACACACTGCATGTCCTGAACATTCCACCCTTTTCTATGTTTCTTACTTGGGCATTTGCATGACTTCTTACTCTTGAATGGTCTCCTAACATATAGTACTGAAAGCTGTGGATCATGACAATATGTAAGGTTTTTTTTTATTATGATTATGATTACCAGTGAGTCTCCATGAGATTTATTCTGTGTTGCTTACATCATACCCCAATTTCTCACAGTGAAATGCATTAGCATTGGGAGTGATATGATTACTTTAACAAAACCAAAAAATGAACTGTGTCAGCTTATATTAATTCCCAGTATAGTACCTAGAGTGCTGTCAGGGTAAATGCCACATACTAGCAAAGTGTTCCTTTACAAATTATCTATCATAAGGTCACCTCTGTGATAGAAACCTCTTTAATCCTGATTCTCTACTTCACTGCAGCTGGTTGTAGACATCACCTTCATACTGGCCAACCTCCAAAGGAGCTAAATCAACCACTAAAACACCTGGCTTCTATGCAAAGCTGCAATATCACAGCTAATTTGTTTTCTGCATCATGTTATACAGATTTGCTGCTGACAGCAATAGAAATCTACTGCTCCACAGACTTTTTTTTTTTTTTTTTTTTTTTTTTGTTAATATGCATGTCCAGAAAGAACCCCTGGCATGTACTTCGGTTCTGGTTACCCTGGTCTCAGCTTGATATTAGTCATGAATCGGAAGGAAAAACCTGGGTCTGCCACTAGAAGTTAGAAAAGTAGAGACAATTACAGTTGTTGAAATTTAATTTTGGCAAAGTAGTTAAACACCTGTTTACTGACTGAGGACCCACTGGAAGGCAAAGTATCTCAAAAAGTCCATCATACACTAGAGCATGCAGAGTAACTGATTGCCTCCACAGGAAAAAAATAAAAAAAGAAAAAGAAAACCACATAAATTGGCATGAAAATAAAAATCCCATTTCTATGACCTAACTGAATGGCCTGGAATAGCAGTTTTCTGTCCCAGAAATCTGTTGTACTGCTCATTAGAGAAAACTTTTAGTTATTTCCTGAAAAAAAAAAAGTTAACTATTATTTTCTTACACTTCAAAATTTGAACGTATTTGTTTTTATATTTCATATTCATACAACAGCACTTTTTATAAATTCTAGTAATATGGTGCAGCATCAAGGAATTGCTCCTCATAAAAATGGAAAGTGATAACCAATTTATTGAGGCAGCACGCTTTTTCCTAGAAATAACACACCAGTGTTTGGCAAAATCACTGCCAGTACATTGGTCAGAAGAACTCCAGTGGTGCCCAAGTGTTATAGCAATCCAGTGCAGTGCTGTAGGCCTGGGAAAGAGTGGCTAGAAAACTGTTTGGCAGAAAAGGACCTGGGAGCAGTGGTCAGCAGACAGCTGAATACAAGCCAGAAGTATGCCAAGGTGATGAAGGCCAGCAGAGTCCTGGTGTACATCAGAAATAGGGTGGCCAGCAGGCAAGGGTTGCAGCTATTAATACAAACTGGGAGATGAAAAGTTGGAGCATAGCACCATCAGAAACAATACAAGGGTACTGGTGGGTGGCAAGCTGGATATAAGCCAGGAAGGTGCCCTTGCAACCCAGAAAGCCAATTATATCCTGAACTGCATCAAAAGAAGCATGGTCAGCAGGTCAAGGGAGGTGATCCTGTCCCTCAGGTGTCAAGTATTAGTTTGCAAGGAAACAGACACAAGTTGTGCCAGGAGAGGTTGAGATTGGGTGCTGGGAAAAAATTATTCATGGAGAGGGTAGTCAAACATTGGAAAGGCATAATGTACGTGGCATTATGGGACTGGTTTAGTGGTGGATTTGGTGGGTCAGACTGATGGTTGGACTTGAAGATCTTTTCCAACCTATCAATAATGCGATTCTAAGGTATCAACTCTTTGGAAAAATCTCATTGTATTTGCCTTGTCAGGGTAGCAGCTCCTCTCTTTGAAAGCTTCGGAGTAAACTAAGAGGACATCAGGGAAAAGAGAAAAGGTGCAGTAGCTTTCCTATGCCTCCACCTATGCTTCAAAGCCCACTGCACTGCCAGCTCATAGCACTGCTACAGTGAATGACTGTCTACTACCCTATGCCAGATGCTGCCCTGCCACAAAGAGGAGCCTGGATCATTATATCTTACACCTCCTGTATATTCCACAGAGTCAGTTAATAATAGCTTCCCTGATATTCCTTTATGATCATGATAGCCATTTTTAACTCACTTTAAATAGTAAAAAGAAAATACATAAGTAAATACATACATAGTTGCATAAAGAAAAGCAAAGTAATCATTTTGTCAGAAATATTAAGTCCAATGTCTCAAACATCCCATAGTTTCTCAGGAACTAAAGCAGCTTCCTCCTGGAAAAATCTAATTTAATATCCACAAAATGGAACTTCTTCTAAAGCAGTCTAACACATTAATATCCTCAGCTCTTCCCTTAAGCTTAACTGGTAAGATTTTGATAGTATAAGAAGTATACAGATGAGTGCGAAATCCATTAGCAACCAAAATGAAATAGCATTTTAGATGAGAAGGTACAAATTCTGATAGAGGAAGAAAAAGAAGAGGGAGGACTGAAGCAATGATAAGGGAAAAGTCTTTCCAGAGCTCTCAGAGGTTATTAAAGGCTACGAAGGATATTAAGATATACGGAGTAGAAAAGGTAAAAACAGTCAACTGTGATGATGTGCATGTGAAGAACACAGTACCAAGGGAAAAAAAAAAAAAAAAAAAAAAAAAGAAAAAAGAAAAAAGAAAAAGCCACATTTGAGTAAATAAAGGTCACCAGCAGAACTGACATGCAGTCACACAAATTCCATTGTGTGTCAATGGCTCACCAGTTATACTTCCTCATCCCCTTCCTTTTATAGGCAAGTGGTGGGTGAGGGATAGTCTGCATGAAGAAGCAGCAGTGGTACAGTGAGTGGAGCATGTCCCTGGGGAAGCCATTAGCCCTCTTCTCACTGTCAGGTACACAGAGGCTGCTCAGTCTTTCTATACCTTGAATTAGGCTGTGAACAAGGATTTTATCCTAAGCTTCTTCTAGTTCCTCTGTATAAATCCCTGTTATGTAAGCAGCAAACAAGAACATCTCTAACTTAAAGAACTGTATGTGTCTACCTACTAAGAAATAGTAGAACGAGAGCAAAAGGATACATTTAAAACATATGATATTCAACACTGTTATTATATAGGTATCTCAGCACACTAGAATTTAATTGGGCAAATGAGAACAAGTTAATTAAAAAGAGAAACATGGAGGGAGAGGAAGGGAAGGAGAAAAGAAAGAAGGAAATGGAGAAAGGAGGAAGGAATGGCGAGAGAGAGAGAAAGAAACACACAAGAAAGCAAGCAGCAAGGTCAAACCAAGAAGAAACATGACAGACAAATAATGTATCTTGATACCAAGTGCTGCAAACTTCAGTCAGTCACGATCAACCTGTTTAGACCAGGGCTTCATTAATATTCTGCAGTTGCCAGCACCAGCATCAGCTCTCAGTACAACAGCTTGTCACAGACTTCTGAGAAGGGGTTGTGCTGTTCTCATGCTTACAGAGACACAGATTTTACTGGGTGTTTTAGTTTTGCTCTTCTGCACCATTAAAGTAACTGCTTCATTCTCCACTTGTGTTCTGTCTGCCATTTGTCCCAGAGGAAAAGAGATGGTATGTGAAAAATCTGTCCCTATTTTTTTGCTCGATAGGAATATTTAGCACATATGTAGGGCATTCCAGCTTCACATAGTAAGCCAAGGACTGCAAAGAGCCTTGCAAACTTCAGTTCTCTCAGTTTCCTAATAGTCTAGTGAGGTGATTCAGAAGTTTCATTCACTTCCAGAAAACCGAA